ATGGTGGGTAAAAAAGTCATTTTCATTGCTCTCTATTAGTACACTAACCTTGTGAACGTAAAGGGAGAGGGATAGGAGACCAAGGGTCTGGCCTTCATCGTATTGCTTCTTTACTTGCTCACTGGCTTGCTCTCGCTGTCTCTGGCATACACACAGTATGGCAACACTGAATCCACAGGAACAGAGTAATACCTTGTGGCTTCTGCAGAAGAGAGGAGCTGTCTTGTGTTAGTGATGGTTTATTTAGAGAGGCTGTGATTCTTAGCATGCCCACAACATACTATTACCTGGGCCATAGATCTGAATGTTAGAACTCTGCAGAATCTAGTCCATTTAAAGTGGTGCTTTAGTCCTTTGCATCTTGTTTTAGAGAGTACCTTGTAGGCCTATGTATTTTTTTGTTTATAAATAATAAGGTAAATGTTCCTTACTGATGGGCTGATAGTAGTCACAATTCAAACTTTTCAGTATTTTAAAAACTTTTTTTTTCCATTTTTCTCTAGACTATGTTTCTTCTCTATCATCTATAATGCTATATTAATTCATCTAAAGTACAGAAAATTTTATACATTTGTTTTCCTGTGGTTCTTCTGGAACAGGTATTCTCATAATATCTTCTGCAGTGCAATTGGTTTGTGTAGTGAAACTTACTTAAAAAGAGCAAGCAGGGAAAATGAAGTCTGTGCTGTGTTTTATATCAAAATTATATGTTCTTGCTGTTAAATTAGGATGATATAATGCTGAGTGTTTCTAGGTAGAGGTAAAAATGAGAAAGAGCAAGACTATGGTTTGATCTACAGTATACTGCCTAATCAGGAGAGGGTGACTGAAATATTTCATTCTTGGAATGAAGTAAAGACAGAACTTGTTTTAGAAGGTCAAAGAAGCTAGTAAGGGAACAGCTGTTTTAGGTTCAGCTCTGCCTGAAAAAGAAGACTTATTTGAGAAACTAAAGGTGGAAGGGAATTTTAGTTGGAAGTGACTGAATTGTTAGATTCACTCAGAAGTAGGACAGAGAGAATAGATAAAGATAATAGGCATTAAAAAAATAATCTTCAACGATTGCAGGGCTGTAGTAGGCGGTCTTTGGACTTTAAAAAAAGCCCGTCAGAGCTAAAAAAAAAAAAAAAAAATCTGTTATCTGTCTTTTATTTGCATTGAGATAATTATAATAAACTAAAATAATAAATGTTAAAGAGACTTTATGTATTAGGAATTCTTCAGAGGCCTGGAAATAAAAAGGAATTTCATTCTTTTTTATAAAAATGCAAAAAAATCAAAATAATTTATAAAATAATGCAGCATGATTAAGGATGAATGTAAAGCAGTAGTATAAGAACGTGAGGATAAAATCAGTAACTTTGTTAATTGAAACTTATTTTATTCTTCAAAGCACAAAAAAACAATGAAAAGGTTTAAAAATCTAGGCAAGAGGGAGCACAAAGGGATAGGTCCATTACATATGTCTGTTATTAAATAAGAAAGGAGAAGAAGTAAGAGATTTTCAAAGACTGAAATCTTTTGTATTTCATACTTTATAAAGAGGTAAGTTATGACCTGCAATTTTTAAAATTAATTTTAGACAGGAAATAAGAGTGGAACCAAAGCACAGAAAGAATAGCCTAAGGAATCACAGAATCACAGAATGGTTTAGGTTGGAAGGGACCTCTGGAGATCATGTAGTCCAACCTCCCTGCTCAAGCAGGGTCACCTAGAGCATATTGCCCAGGATCACATCCAGACGGGTTTTGAATATCTCCAGGGAAGGAGACTCCACTACCTCTCTGGGCAACCTGTTCCAATGCTCTGTCACCCTCACAGAATCTTGATATAGATTTGTCCAAGTGGCAAATTCTAATAAAATTAATCCTAGAATGATTGCGAAATTGGGCATCAGTGATGTTATTTATATATTTATTTATTTAATGTCCTGGAGGATGAAAGCTGCCAGCAAAGTGTCTGTCTGCAGACACAGAAAACTGTCAGTTTCAGTTTCAAAGAAAGATTCAGTAGTAAATAGTTTAGCAATTAATTAGTATCTAAAAATACATAGATGGGAGCCTGTAAAACAGTCGATATGGTTTGACATGACCTCTTTGTAATAAAACTCAAACTGTTTCTTCTCCTGGAAAGGGTGACAAGCTTAATAAGGGGAAAACTTTAGGTAGGATATCGCTTGATTTTAATAAAGATATTTTCCCTTTATAAACAAGCTAGGGAAACATAATATCAATACTATCTCTAATAGATGGTAATATAAACAGCATCTGGTTGAAAAATTACCTTTATAGAATAATTATCTGGAGTACCCCGTCAAGATGAAAAGGCGTTAATGAGTTGGATGATGGAAGAGAACACACACTTACAAAAAGTTACTGGTGACGCTAAGCTGAAGAGGGGTTGAAAGTTTGGGAGGTTGTTTTTTTGAACATAAGATCTGAATGCAAAGTAATCTTGACAAATTAGAGCTAATCTCTCAAATCAACAAGATGAAATTCAGTACAGGCAAGCATGAAGCACTGTATTTAAGAGTAAAAAAAGTAAAATATATGAATACAAAACAGGAACTAAATATTCAGACAGTAAAGTGACAGAAGAAGATCTGAAGGTACAGAAGGTCTAAAGTTACATAGTAACAGTTTGATTCTGGAAGACAATACTTGGCACATTGTAGGAAATAGATTCTGTAGTTTGGCAGGTCTTCTCTGTGTGGTTCAGTGCTCTCACTCTCCTCATTGCTTTTTCCTCTTGAAAAGGTGCAGACAAACTGGAAATTCTGCTCTGTTTTTATTATTCTTTTCTCCTGAAGAATGAAAACCATCTTTATTTGTAATAAAGGTGATTTAGGTTGAATATTAGAAAAAGATTCTTTGTAATTATTAGGGTGATAAAACCCTGGAACCAACTATCTAGAGAAATTGTGGAATCTGCTTCCTTGGTAGTTAAACATCTGTCTAGGTATTCTTGAGCCTGCCTTTATGCTGAGTTAGGATTAGATGGTCTCTTGTGATCTGTTCCAGCTCTGCATGAGTACAGTGCTCAGACTAGATATGGTTTGGCTGCACAGAAGAGATTATCTAAAATAGTTAAATCATGAACTCATGAAAGTGAAAGGGGATGCTATTAGTTGCATCTAAATACAATTTTAAGGCAGGACAGTAAGGAACAGAGTTTATTTTTGACTGAAATACATTTTTATTTGGCTTCTAAAAAAGTGTTTTAGCAAATCATGCCTTAATATCTTGAAGCGTCTACATATAGGTATATATCTATCTTCTAATGATTATGCTAGAAAAGCAGAGAATAAGGTTGCACTAGCAGTGAGACAGTAGAAACCCCTTGATTACTGATCCACAGTGGAATAACCCTGAGGAAAAATGGCACCCTAGAGATTACTTACATTTGCGCATTTCTGCAGGCAAAGTTTACAAACCTGTAAATTTAAATGTAGAATTTTTGTAGGCAGAATGCATTGACAAATATGCCTGATGGTAATACATCTCATACTGATAGTCTCAGAACAGTTCAATAATAGTGCTTATATTGATAGCAGCAGTGCAGGAGATGTTACTTGGTGTTATAGCTAAAATCCATGTTATCCCCTTAATCATAATTACATTAATATTGACAGGCTGTTGACAATACTCACATTACTATTGATAGATTTCTGTCAATAACATGTTTCCAAATAAAATATATTCATTCATAATTTGTACAACGCTCGATAACAGCTCTAATATATAATGCAAGAAATTCCTATTTCCCTGGTGATATACAATAATTTGTTTTGTTGCACAGTGTACTGTACAAGTGGCAATGTCGATTTGTTTAGTTTAGACCTTTTCTCTCTTAAATAACTTGTATTTTGTCTGGGTTTTTTTTTCTTTTCTGATAATTAAATTTTAACTCCTCTTCTTTTCCGTGCAATATCTGTGGTGGTTTAAAATCATCAGGAAACCTTTTAAGGCGTATTCTTCAGTATTTTGTCTCAAAATGTATTTGTATAACGGGTTAATCACACATGGAGTTTATGGTTTATCCTCACTTGAGTTCTGACTATTGAATTCTGATCTTACAAGCTAAGCCTGATGCCATCTTTAACTGAACTTTAATGTTTATCTTTTTGATTGTTAGGTCTATAGTTCTGAGAGTTCTTGAGTTTTAAATATTTTTAAATAGACCAAATAAAGAAATAAAACCAGTAAGGACTTGACAGAACAGAATTTAATGCAGAACAATGGAGAAGAACAACGTTCTGTTTAAGATCTGTGTAGCACAGCAGGCTATGGAATGTAAAACTAACTTTTAAAAGTATGAATGAAAGGTATTGACACCCATAGGCTTTGTTTTTATTACCTGGTTTTGGAACAAAGAGCAAATTTCTCATCTATTCCTATTGTAGGACCACTATTGTAAAAACGGTACAAGGAGAAAAAAATTAACAAAGCACTGAAACGTTTTTGTGAGGAAGTAATATAAAAAGGGAAATCCATATTTGCTGTCGGTTTAAACAATACATATCATAAATATGGAATAAAATGAGAATTCTTCACTACAACAAAGTAGAGAAAGATTAGAATTTAGGCTTCCTCTCTCAGAAGTAGTAGTCACCGTTATCCAGATCATTAGGACTTCTGCAAATATTTTTCGTGGGAGCGTATTAATTTCATTTTTTTCCTTTTAATATTTGTGGAAAATAAGTTGGAAATATGTGTTCCAGGTGGAGAATCTAACCTGTAAGCTCAGTAAAACGTTAAGTTCTGAAGTAAGTGTAGTGTATAGCAGAGCACTTCAGGATGTGCGTGAGAGTATGCGTTCCCACACAGTTCTGTTAAACGTTATGTAAGCATAGCTTTGATTTTAGGTAGCTTGCAGGATCCAATGACCTATAGCCATGACCTATAGTAAACTTTTCAGTATGCCTAGCGACAAAATAATTTCCATTTTTTTGGCTTAAATTGAGAATATTCTTACCTAATTGTTATCAAAAAAAATTAAAACCAAAAACAGCCTTAGCTATGCTTACATAGGACTATTATAAGCACAACTTAAAGGATTTTGAAGGAATGTGTCTTTATCAACAGATTCTTACATTTTTGTCCAATATCCTTCCCTTTTTGTATAGTCTGTCTGCAATATCAATGACTCCAAAGTTGAATCAATGTGCTCATGTTGCTTCCTGAGCTGCAAACTAAATATGCTGCAGGTAAAGACTACTTCCAGTGTTGATTCTAATTTTAAAAAGTGCTGAAAAGGGCTTGCTGGGTTTGGAGAAATTTTATATTTTGGCAAACAATGCTTGGACTCCTTAAAAAATGATTCCAATTTTTTTGTAGTCAAGTTGTGTCCCACACTAGTAGACTTATTGAAATTCTTTCTTTCAAATAAAATTCCATAAAGCACCATGAACAGGATATATATGTAGAGAGAGAGTCACAAATCAATTAAATTATACAGTTACTGAAGCAAACTCGACATCCACAAGTCCATGGGCCCCGACGGGATGCACCCACAAATGCTGAGGGAGCTGGTGAACGTCATTGCTAGGCCACTCCCCATCATCTTTAAAAGGTCATGGTGATCAGCAGAGGTGCCTGAGGCCTGGAAGAAAGCAAACGCCACCCCAGTCTTCAAAAAGGACAAGGACGGAGGACCCAGGGAACTACAGGCCAGTCAGCCTTACCTCAATCCCTGGAAAGGTGATGGAACAGCTCATCCTGGAGGCCAACTCCATGCGTGTGAAGGACCAGAAGGTGATGAGGAGGAGCCAGCATGGCTTCACAAAGGGGAAATCATGCTTAACCAACCAATTGGAAGCCTTCTGGGGTGGAATGGCTGTCTGGGTAGATGAGGGGAGAGCGGGGGTTGCTGTCCTCCTTAACTTCAGCAAGGCTTTTGACGCTGTCTCCCATAACATCCTCGTAGGCAAGCTCAGGAAGTGTGGGCTGGATGAGCGGACGATGAGACGGATTGAGAACTGGCTGAATGGCAGAGCTCAGAGGCTTGCGATCAGTGGTACAGAGTCTAACTGGAAGCCTGTAGCTAGCGGGGTGCCCCAGGGGACAATAGCGGGTCCCGTGTTGTTTAACTCATTCCTCAGTGACTTGGATGGAGGGATAGAGCGCCTCCTCAGCAAATGTGCTGATGACACCGAGCCGGGAGGAGCGGCTGGCACACCCGAGGGCTGTGCTGCCATTCAGAGGGACCCGGACAGGCTGGAGAGATGGGCAGAGAGGCACCTCCTGGAGTTCCACTGAGGCAAGTGCGGGGTCCTGCCCCCGGGGAGGAATAACCCCAGGCACCAGGACAGGCTGGGGGGTTGACCTGCTGGAAAGCAGCTCTGCGGAGAAGGACCTGGGAGTGCTGGTGGACAACAAGTTGACCGTGAGCCAGCCGTGTGTCCTTGTGGCCAAGAAGGCGAATGGTATCGTGGGCTGCGTTAGGAGGAGCATTGCCAGCAGGGGGGGGGGGGTGATCCCGCCTCTCCGCTGAGTCCTGGTGAGGTCACACCTGGAGTACTGTGTCCAGTTCTGGGCTCCCCAGGACGAGAGAGAATGGAGCTCCTGGAGAGAGTCCAGCGAAGGGCTCCTAAGACGACGAAGGGAGTGGAGCATCTCTCCTGTGAGGAAAGGCTGAGAGAGCTGAGAAGAGAAGGCTCGGGGGGGAGCTGATCAATGTGTATAAGTTCCTGCAGGGAGAGTGCCAAGAGGATGGGGCCAGACTCTGCTCAGTGGTGGCCAGCGATAGGCCGAGAGGCAACGGGCACAAAGCGAAACACAGGAAGTTCCGTCTGGACATGAGGAAAAAGTTCTTTCCTGTGAGGGTGACTGGGCCCTGGAGCAGGTGTTCCAGCGAGGTTGTGGAGTCTCCGTGCTTGGAGACGTTCAAAAGCTGTCTGGACACACTCCTGGGTAATGTGCTCTAGGTGGCCGTGCTTGAGCAGGGAGGTTGGGCGAGATGATCTCCAGAGATCCCTTCCAACCTCCACCATTCTGTGATTCTGTAATCACTGATGTATAAATTTAGATTAAAAGGTCAAGGTCTAAGGTCATGAGTAAGATCTGGGTGTCACCTAGTCCATCCTCCTGGAAAAACTGGGGCTAAATCCAACATTAGAACAGGTGGCTTAGGACTTTGGTCAAGTTTTAAGAGTATTCAAGGATGGGGATTTCACAGCCTCTTTCGGGAAGCTCTTCCAATGCTTAACTGCTTTCCTTATGAATATTTTTTTCTTATGTCCAGCTGGAATTTCTCATATTGCAGCTTGTGACGAGTTGCCTCTTTCTTTCATTGTGCATCTTGTAAACAAATTTGGCCCAATCTTCTCTGTAACTCACCTTTGGGAAGTGAAAGATTACTGTTAGCTCACTTCTTAGCATTCTCATCTCCAAGTTAAATGATCCCAGTTGTTTCAGGGAAGGGATCTTCATAAGTCATGCAGGCTCCCTAGTGGTCGTAGGACTCTGTTCAGTCTACGATCTCTCTTGTACTGTTGATGGAGAAGAGGCAAAGCTGGACTTAGTATCTCAGGTGGAAACTCACCACTTAACTACAGAAAAGAGAGAAGACAGGCTTGGGTATATTGTCAGATGAGGTTAAAAGAGCTAACTTCATAGCATGGATTCATGCCACAACCACTGTCAATCTAGTTAAGGTTGCTTTCTGCTACCTTAAGCTATATTTTGTTTGCTAATGAGGAAGAGGAGTTGATAATAACCAATTGGTGCTATCCCATGCCCTACCTCTGTGGCCGGTCTTAATTAATTGGAAAGTACTGTTCTACAGCATACGTTAAGAGCAAAATCATAATTCCTGTGAGCTTTTTTTGCACAATATTTTCCTTGCAGACTTAACCAATTATGGACATAGAAAACAGTAGGAATGCTACAAATAATGTTTTATAATTAAGTTTTTAAACTTTTGGCACAGTCAGTTTCACCAACAGGTTATTGGTTTGGAGAAGGTTTTTAGTACTCTTCATATCATTAGCAACCGTTCCTATACAGGATCCTATACAGCATCTTTTATTCCAGGCAATCATGTGTTACTGCAACTTTTCCTCTTGTAAATAGGAATTTGAAGTTCCTTCTTCTGTACTTTTTCCAGAATGCTGTTGACCCTTGCTTGTCTGTTGTGCAAAGAATCCAGTTTAGAAGCTGGTAACAGGTGCACTCTCTTCCTGTAATATACCACTTCTCCTAGTAATCACTTTTCTTTTTTTGATGTGGACAAGAGGAACTAAAAATCAGTAATCCCACAATCGTGCATTACTGAGATGAGTTTCCCGTATTTTGCTCTTGCAATTTATTGCATTTATTCTCTTATTCACAGAATTCCAGATTTATTGACGTTTCAAGCAAGCAGTTTTTAAAAATAATTTTATTTTGCTTTGCAGTCCTTGAACAAGACGAGTACACATTTGTTGAAGTTTCTAGTACACATTAATCATCTTGCCAGGAAATTTGTTATACAGAAAGTAGCACAATCCTGCACCTGTCAGCAGACTCTAGAAAATACATGCAGGCTTCAGTGTTGTACTGTATGATAATTTATTCTTCTATAAATTAAATAAATTTTTGCCTTTATTTAACAGGTTTTATCACTTCTGCCTTAATTTTTATCTATATTTTTTTATATGTAATCCTTAATTTTTTTAGTATTTCTAAGATTTTGCTTTCACCTGCAGCTACTGAAGTGTTGATATGGCAGTATTTTCCATCCACTGCTCTATTCTCTCCTAGATTTTAGTTGGTGTGCTCATTTTCCCTATTTTTCCATAAAAGATCTTACAGCTTTGCAAATCTTGTTCTGGTCTTCCTTTTTAAGATGTGATCGAATATTAAAATTATGCCTGGGAATGTATTAATTTTCATAGTGAAATGTTAAATATGTGAAGCTTAGTGAATATCTGGAAGAGATTATAGGCTTCTCTATAACCGAATGAACTTGTTACTGTTTTGAGGAAATAGTCCAATGTAAGTCCTTTTAATATGAAATGTTATATTGGTAGTGTAAAGCTTACTGAAAGGGGCTTGTTGCAGATCCTGATAGCGCATTAATATCTAAAGAAGCATTTTTGCTATTTTTTATTTAGTTTTGGTATATTGCAAATTTGTTATCTTTAATAAGAATAAAAATATGAAATGCCCCATTAAACTATAATCTATTTGTATTTATTCCTAGAAAGTTTTTTGTGAAGACATGGCCTCCAGCATTGGGAATGAAAAGAGTGTGAATCCTGTGCTCAGAATAAGTCAGCTTGATGCTTTGGAACTAAACAAAGCCCTGGAGCAACTAGTATGGTCCCAGTTTACCAGCTGTTTCCATGGATTTAAACCAGGGATGTTGGCTCATTTTGAACCAGAACTAAAAGCATTTTTATGGCTTTTATTGTGGAGATTCACTGTCTATTCCAAGAATGCAACTGTTGGACAGGCTATTCTGAATATTCAGTACAAAAATAACTTATCTCAGACAGAAAAATACCAACCCCTGAGCAAACACCAGAAGTTATGGTATCTTATTTTCACTGTTGGTGGACGATGGTTGGAAGAAAGATGTTATGATTTATTTAGCAATCGTCATCTGGAATCTTTCTGCAGAATTAAACATTGTATTAACTTTGGAGCTGGACTTCTTAAACTTTGTGGACTACTAAATTTTCTGATTTTTCTTCAGAAAGGAACATTTGCAACCCTCACAGAACGTATTCTAGGAATTAGATCAGTTTTTTGCAAGCCTCAAAGTGCTCGTCAGATAGGATTTGAATACATGAACAGGGAGCTCTTATGGCATGGCTTTGCCGAGTTTCTAATCTATCTACTACCACTTATTAATGTACAAAAACTAAAACTCAAAATTTCTTCTTGGTCTTTGCCTATTGCAGGTCTTTCCAGTAGTGAAAACACATTAGCAGCTCACTGCAAGGAGTGTTCACTATGTGGGGAGTGGCCTACCATGCCTCATACCATAGGCTGTTCACATGTTTTTTGTTACTATTGTATTAAAAGCAACTATTTATTTGACATGTATTTTACATGTCCTAAGTGTGGCTCAGAGGTACACAGTGTTCAGCCACTGAAATATAAAATAGAAATGACAGAACTGAGGGCTTGATTTGTTTTTATACAGTACATGAAGTATTATATTACATAGATGACAGGAAAAATTCAGAAATTACTGTAAACAAACAGCTTGAAAGATGATTTTGAAAATTCTGTGATTTGTTGTAACATATCATGTCTTTACTGGTATTAGTTTTTTTATGGAGGAGCTGTGCCAGCTTGCCTCTCTGAAGGGAGGAAAGAAAGGAGGTCACCAGGTCTTCTACTCTCTGACTATTCGATCCTTGTTTGGTGCACCCTCTGTTGTTGAGTCTCTCTTAGATCCAGAGCCTTGCAGCCTACCGCTTTTTAGCTGCATGCAATATACTTCCCTCAAGGTTAGAGGAGAAGGTGCCTTAGGAACCTTTACCCATTTTGTGATTGTTCTCAACAGTGTTATACAGACTCAGTACTAAATTAGCTAGTAGGTGGATTTAGTGGGAAAGATGCCCATGCCTTAAATAATATTTTTTAGTCATGTCTAAAGAATAATTTTAAATTTGAATATTTTTCCAAATGTGATGTTCCACTGGAAAAAAAGGAAGGGTGCAGGATGAACTGTCGTCTCAGCGGATTATTAACAGTTCTCATCAGATTCAGCCACTGTAATCAATAGACCATGAGCTCTAAGTGATCCATGTGGTAGACAGACATATTCATATTCTCTATAGATAAATTATTATAAGAGATATAGCCATTGCCTGCTCAAATACAAAGCAGGTGCTTTCTAGATCATGCATTTTCTCGCCTAACAGTATGTCTGTGATCTTTGGTGATGTATATGACCACCTCCCAATTCTTCCTTATAAAGCTGAAGGACCCAGTCCATCATCCATTGGAATGTGGCAGGTACATGATGTAACCTGCATTTTTCTGAATCAGAGATTGTGGAGAAAACTGTTTACTCACAAGATGCTGTCATGGGGATTTGCCACACTTCCTTTTGTGATGTGGTCAAGCTGCATGCTGCTAAACCACGCTAGCAGCTCTCTACCACACAGAAAACAGATCAGACATCAATATGTGCATATAGCTGTATAAAAAATAGGTAACTCTTCTTGGTTGAGGTTATTACTATTTGTTTCACTTGTCAGCTTTGCAATGGTTTTATTATTCCCAGTTTTAATACTTTATCCATTTATTCTCTGACCTGGTTTCGTAAGTGGATTTGGGTTGGGTTTTTTGTTTGGTTGGTTTTTCTTTACCCAAATTGTTGTCCTTTTTTACAGGAAGTCCTACCCAGCAGTCTCATTAAAACAAAAATACATCTCATCCTTTTTTGGTTCTTAAATTCTTAAAATCTTATACAGTTAAATGGAATAAATCACTTTATGATGAATTGGTTCTTGATTGGCTATCCTCAATAGTCAGTTCCAAAGATAGTATGGTAACAACTGATCCAGTACCTTTGATCTCCTTTTATGAAATGTTTTATTACATTTTTCAGTGTCTGATTAAAACAACGTACCAGTCTATTTGTTTGAAGATCTTAAGTTCTAGTTTTTGATCTTTAGAGTGACATACAACTCTTTCATCTGATTCAATTAAATATAGTTAGTGGAATCATAAGTTTCTCTGGGCAGCCCAAAACTTCATTAATTCTGCTACTACTCACTGAATCAACAGAGACTTCAGAGCAACTGCTTCGAGATACTGTATGTCATAATATATTATTTGCCAGCATATATCAGCAGCCTGCCAAATTTCAGCTACTCATAACTGATGTTTGAACCAGGAGGTACAAGTGTATCTTTCTTAGAAGTACCAAAACTAGAAAGTCCATTGGAAAATATGCTGGAGACACTAGCTGATTCTGAAGTAGTTCTTTATGAATTGTCTATGTATATCACATCATAGCTCTTCCCAAAGAAATGTAAAGGCAACCTTGACTTGGAGGTGGTCTAATGCCTTCAGAAAGGTTTATTAGCATGCCTGCTACCTCTCTCTGTTTAACTGTCCTTACTAAGATTTGCAAACATCCAAAATCCAATGTTCTGAGATGATGATCACGGCAGACCTTTGTTTCCAGTGAACTCTTTGTTCCTTCTGAAGTCACAGTGCAGTATTGTGTCCAAAGTGCCTGAATTCTCTATGCATCAGTGTCATGTTCCTCTTGTATAGGAGTTGACTTTTTTCCTGTTTCCTTTTCCTGGATATTTAAAGAATGTTGTGTCTTCCTTATTCACTCCACCTCTGCCTGTCCTGCTGTTTGATTTATCTAGGCTTTCTGAATTTTTTGAGGTTTGTTTTGCCCCTTGCAGCTCCATGCAGCTGCAAATCCTAGTAACATCATTACTCTGTTTTTTCTCTATTACAATATCAGTGCAAAACCTGTTGTTGCTAATGGTGTCCTACTGATAACTGTATTTGTCAAAGCTATTTTGTTGGCTGTGCTATATTGCCATTGGCATCCCCATGTGTCTTCTGGGGGCTGAACTTTTGATACTCAACTGACAATGGCTTGTTGCTTCAAAGTGTTGACCTGCTGCTGTAGTACTTTGTCATCAGTGTTAGATCTGTAGCCCTTAGCACTGACTAAGTTTGTAAACTGTCTCTTTTATGACACAAATAGGACAGCTTGCACTACCCTGAGATCCTTCCCTTACAGAGTGTCTTCAAGATTCCTCCCAAGGTTCGTGTGATTCTCCTAGACTGGCTTGCCAAAGACCCAATGTCTGTTAAGAATAACTCAAAAATGTTTCCAGTCTCTTCACTGATCTTCCAGAGATTTATAAGACTACTTCTATTTTCCATGTTTTAAGATTGTGTCTTACATTGGGTTTTAGTGTACAGGTATCTACCAGGGACTGTTTGTTCCTGACTCCCTCTAGAAGAGCTCTCTCAAAATCCAGAGCCTAAAGCCTCTTATGCTTTGGCCCAAATGAATGCATTTCAGAACCTCAGAAGTGCAGAACGTCATACAGAAATCACTTTAACTATAGTAATAGGAAGCTTATGGTATACTGAGGAAGTTACTGATATATTTAGTCAGCTGTTTTCATAATCCTTTTTGAAGATGATAAAAACACTTAAAGCTACTTTTAAGGTCAGAGACTTGTTAATAGCCATAATAAAGCTAGCCGTACACCTGAATGATAGTGGGGAGCTGTGATACAGGAGAATGTTATCTAAACCTAAATCATGTTCACTTACTGTTGTGTGTTTTTAAATTTCACATGTGCTGTTTAAACAGCGCATTTTTTGTAGCAGTGTGTCGTTAGTCCAGTGTTCATTCAGTTGGCTGTCCCAAAAAGAAGGATGCTATTTCAGGGTATTTAGTGCATGTCATATGCTTTTGGGTACTTTAAGTTTGCAGGTGCAAGCGCTGCATTGATATTCATGGCAGGGTTTGTTTCTGTGCTAGCTTTACAGAGTGCTTTCAGTTTTTTGTGCAGGTAAGCAGGTACCACACATCTTACAGAAATAAAAGTTTTGGGAAGACAGCAGTTCATTTCGTCAGCTCTTGATTCTTCTCTTCCCCCTCACCTCCCAAACTGTTTCTGCCTGTTGAAACCTTTGCTCTGTTGGAGTTCAAACTCACATTGATGAGACCAAGATTTCAGCTTCCATATTCAAAAACTACTTGCTACCAGATTAGCATTTTAGGACCACAAAATCAATACTCAGTAGCTTCTTTTCAGCAGTGTGAAATTAAAAATATGTCTTTTTTATATTGTCATTCTGGGTTTTTTGTGTGTTGTGACATTAAAACTGCAGAAAACTTTTACCTGCAGATGCTACAGGAAAAAAAAATGTGATAATTTGTAAGCTAATCAAAGGATAAATTAATTTTATGTACTAATTGCATGTGTAAAATGTTCTTATAATTGCCATATTTTCAAGTAAAAACTATACTGTTAGAAAAGACTAAGATACGTCTGCTAACACTTCTGCAATAGAGGGAATAAATTTGACATCAATTTTTTTGAATATTAATCTCCAATCATCTTCTCTAAACAAAAACTTTTTAGTGTTCACCTACCGCGAGGATATACTTCTGAGCAGTCATATGTGCACCAGTGAAGAGGATAAATGGTTAGAATTTTTCAGAGCTAAAGCACTAGAACTATTAATCAGTTCTTAGTCTTGGATAAGGGTTGCAAGGCTTTATTAACCGTTTTATTTGTACTATGTTGCATGTCTGTGTGCTACATGAACTTCTTCATTGTATCAGAAATCAGAAAATGAAGTCATAACTGAAATAGGCTAATTATTTATATTAATAAACATATTAGAGAACTCTCCATATTTTAATTTGAATGAAAATTAACACTTATCACAAAGGTGCATTTTAAAAGGTATTTAAAAGGAAAGAGTGTGAGAATGGTGGTTTCCTGTTTCCACAAACAACTGTTCTACGTGCTGCCTATCCATGAAGAGGTCTCTTCTAAGTAGTTTTATGGAAGACTCAAAGGCAGGAGTTTCAATATTCTGTAAGAGAAATGGCAGGGGTAGGAATATCTGATTTCTCTGTTGTCTACATGTATTGTATGTCTTTATTTCTCCATAAATGTGAAATGTTAAGGGTGAGGGTGATCTGGACAAAGTGGTGAAAACAAGATGTTAACAATAATGAAAAAAATATATTTGCTACATACCATGCAAACTGAGGAATGTCCTTATTTGAGAGTGGTATTACTACAAATGTTACCTGGAGTTTATCATTCTGATTGAAAGCAAGTTGACAAATGAAAGACACTTCTTTAAAGAAGGTTCTGAAGAGGGTCCCCCCCCCCCAAAAAAAAAGACATATATATATATATAAAATTTTGAAGACCAGTTATCATGCCTTTTCAATGGTTTAGCCATCAAACTACTTCTTACTCTAGTGTTCATTAGACTAGAATGCAAAGTGGAAAAAACTAAATTAGAGTTACAAACAATTCACTTAATAGCTTCTTCGACTGTAAATTCCAAAGCAATTTTTGTTGTTATTGTTTTTTAATAACTCTTCTTTGGAGCAGACTAGTCACTGAAATAAGTTGGCAGCTATTCAACTTTGTTGGGCACTTCCTGGGAAGCTATCTTGGCTCATACAAAGAGCAGATTATTATGGCACAGCTGTCCCTATCCAGCTGCTTAAAAGAGCTAGGAACACCTATTGTAAACCTGCAAACCTGCTTCTGTTAATAGAGGTAGTTCTTTTGCATACATGATGCCAGTAAACTTCCTGTGGCATCTTACTTCATGCAGTGATACTGCAGGGTGCGAGTGCCCTGTAGGGATGGTGCATATAGTCAGCTGAGGACCTGAGTGTGGGATTTGTTCAGGTTCAGCCTGCTGCAAGCCATCCTGATGGATGAAGCACCATGGCTCTTACAACAAGAGATGCGAAACAAACTGGTGGTTCAGTCCTGCCTGAACAGCAAGGCTTGATGAGATACTAAATGTGAGGTTTCATGGTTTTTGAGAAATGGCAGTCTGATAAACTGGATGGGTCTAAAACACACGGCTATCCAGTGCAATGAGAAGGGAGAGGCAATAGCATTATCACCCAAGGCAAAAAGAGCTTTCCAAAAGCAATTCAGCTTGCTCATTTCTTACTCCTTACTCCTCTATCCCTCCCAAACCAGAACAGACAAGTCCAACCTGGTTGCAGGATAGGGTCATAATGGTGGCTACTGTTGTAAGTATTAAAGCTGATTGACAGTTACTGCTGACAACAAAAATAATCGCAGCTTAGCCTATTGCTGCCAATATCAGCACATACAACCAAAACACTAGGGAGCAGTTTCAGAAAGGTGCTTTAGAGCTTTCGAGTGCCAAAACCTTGTGCATTCTCAGGAGCAACTTAGGTAGAATTGTTCAAGTAGATTATAATTCTTTTTTCACTCTACCTCACTAACACTTCCCTCACCCTCCAGAGAGGATTTTCAATCCAGCTACAATTCTTACTGTTTTAATAGTTTCTCCACTTCTAGGGAGCCCACTTCTAATACAGGCTCTGGCACAAGCCTAGATAAGATCACCAAATAGAAGGCATTCAAACAAGAGGCACCTGTGGGGATCCCAGTTAATATTTGGGACACTGGGGCCAGATGAGGACTACTCACATACTCACAAAGACACTGGTAGGGCATCTACAGAGGTGAAGCAGTGGTCTGTTCCATTCTCTTGAACATATCTCTTGGATTTTGTACTTCTACTTGAATTATCTGTTTACTGCTCACAGAACGAAGACCCATTCAGGATAGCAGATGTAGGGAACCTCATTGTGCAAGAGGAATTTCAGGTAGTTCTTAATAAGTAGATAATCCTTAGTTGCACACCTATCTGAGCCTGGATTTCATTAGACAACAGAATGGTGCAAAATACAGTAAGCCTGGCAGCGTGTCTCCGTTCAGCTCAAGCAATCAGTCCACTTTGAGAGGGACTTTTGAAGGAGCAGAAGGTTGTCAGTCTACTACCCACTCTAGATTATGCTGTACTGGAAGAGCTAGAAGAGAGAACTTGTTAATAGCAGCTTGTAGTAGCCCAGGAGAGAGAGATTGACTCTTCTCCTATCTTCTGCCATAAACTAACCAAAATACTCTGTAATGCCCCCAAGCTTTTGGACACTTGCCAATAATCTGATGTGGCATCTCATTTAGAGACCTTGCCTAAATTATCTTCCAGGACAAGTCTGCACACAAAATAGCCCAAGCTAGCATCTCTGGATTGTGTGTACAGTTCTGAAGATTTCCTCTGGAGTAATGAAAACTCTGGCAAGTTGTGTTGCACTGTCTTAATGGAGAGAAAAACAAAAAAGGAAAAAAAAAAGTTAGCTTCAAGGTTCAGTAGAAGTTTTAAGGTAAGTAGGCCTGATTCCCAAACAAGATTTGCCTGCCCTCTGAAGCCAGGGACTGTGAAACTGGGAGGGTGCTTACTGCAACAAGGAAAGATAGTAGTGTTTGTCACTACTAACTACTATTAACTCTTTATTAATTGTCATTGGAATTTATATTAACACTAAATATTTTCAAATAGTTTTAAAACTTGCTCTGCCTTAAATCAGGCCTACTGCCTGTTACATGATTACTCTGAAGGAATCCTGAGTCTTGATGAAAGTCATGGCTGTGCATGGTACAGCAAGGTAGACAGTGTGGGTGACATAACTGGATGTTGGTACCCAGTCTGTCTCTGGTGATCTGCATCTTACTTTGATGCACTCAAGCAGGAGCTGAACATCTGACTGAACATGCCATGTGAGACCTGATTATCTAGGTAGAGCTGCATGGCCCAGTCCGTGATGCAGGTACGTACCCGGAAGCTAACTAAGCTTTTATAAGAATGCTTTTGCTTTGATGGAAAGAAGGTGCTGGTCTGCTTGTACTCAAATAGGTAAGACTTTGCCATATGAGTGCCCCTACAGCCAGTCGTAATATCCAGAAAGCAATCTCTGAAATCAGCAATCGTCTGACTGATGTGGACATATTTACTGATAACTGCACAGACTCCTTTGGCTTAGGCTCCTACTAAAGATGTGGATATCATGATTTGCCCCACATAAAGTCACATTCAAAGCATGATTCAAAGCATGGTTCAAACATGAATTGAGAGAGCCAGTAACTACCATTATATCTGGGCAGTATTTATGATGGCCTCTAACTTTTCTATGACTGTTACACTCACAGTAGTAAGGACCCACCCCAATTTTTCTCCATACTGACAAAAGGACTGGGGTTGGGCCAGACTAGAGAGAATTGTGTTAGGCACAGGAATCGGAGTTCTAGAGTGCTGTATCTTCAGGATAGGTGCCTGAGAATATCAAACGGGACCTTTTCTATGTGAAAGTTTTGCACTTGCTGCTTTTCATTCCATGTACAGAGGATGATATGGTCCCACCTAGTGGGTGTTTGAATGGCCAGAACATGCTCCAAATGTGAAGATGCGATGGGCAAATCACTAAGTGGCACAGTTCCTGTTGCATACGTGTGAAAAACAGAGTAAGAGGTACGTAATGTTTGCCCAACTGCCTCCAGGTTTGCTTAGGCCATTGCAGAAAGCGTAGATGGAGCTGCAGCATACCTTCTCCATTTTACCCTTTCCAGAACCCCTGTCACTGACAGCAGCAACAGCAGCACTATGTCACAATTTCAAAAGTGGTATATAGATGTGTGATAAGGCACAGAGGAATACAGGTTGCCTATTGCACCCTTGCTCAGTGCTGCTAAGATTAAAATAGATCCATGGAAGATTTGCACATCAGCAGTACTTGCAAAACCAATATATATGTCAGGACAAGGAGGAAAGAAATCTAAAGAAAACAGTACTTAAAGTTTTTCTCCTGCACAGCAAATGAGACTTTTGCTAAAGAAATGCAAAATGCATTAGTCATTAAAAATATATATATTTGTGCATTTCCAATCACCTACAGCTATTCGTGGAAACATTTGGCAGGATCCAAAAAGAAATTACACGCAAGCAATGACGTCTTTTACTGAAATATCTCAAGCTAGTGAAAAAAAATTTAAAAGATAGCAGCATTCAAACTTAGCTCCCCATCCCTCAATTTAAGAGTAAAACAATTATTTCTGTTAAATTCTCAAAACTAGCTTCATGAATTAATATGCAGGCGTACAACTGACTGTCTTAAGACACACAAATTGATGGCAAAAAGTATTTTGTCAACTTCAGATGGTAATTCTTACCCCTAAGCTATCAGTTAACTTTTAACTCTTGCTCAAAAGAGCATTTTAGCTTTTTAAAGAATTGATAGGTATTTTCTCTTTTTATCATCC